AGTGACAACACTGAAAATGGAAAAGACTTTTTACAAAAATCAGAAGAAATTTGAGGAAAAGGAAGAAGAACAGATTGAATGGAAGATAAACCTATCAGGACAATTGTGGGAAATTGGAGTAATAGGGAGGTGATCTAATGAATACAAATGGGCTAGTTCTTCCAAAAAAAATTCAACTAAATGGTCTTTCTTATTCCAAATAATATATATAATAATAGAGGGAGAACTATTTGATGATTCAAAGGCACTGACATGGAAGGCTAGTTGGCAAAGGAAGAAAGCCAGAGTCAGACTGAAGAAAATAATGGCTTTGATTTATTAGAGGGGATATCTTACTACTAACTAGAGGGGTGAATATGGTGGAAAATAGATAATTTTTAGAAAATAAAGTAACATTATAATTGAATAGGTAAGATGTGTAACAAGACTAATAGACTTTGGTATGAAAAGGGAAAAAGGGAGAAGTTGAGAAAAGGGAAATTTTGGTCACCTAATATAAAATATTTGGAAATCATAAATAAGAGTGGGTTTTTTTCCCTTTTTTTCCTCCCCCCCCTTTTTTTTGAATATTGATGGAAAATTAAAGTTTATGTATAGGCTAAAAAGTATTGATAAATGTAACAAGATTTTTTTTTACTCAGTTGAAAATAAGAATTCTGTTTGCCCAATATGAGATAATAGATATTACTAGAAAAAGAGAGGGAGTATTTGAGCTTCTAAAAATTAGACCTAAACTAAAAGATTTATGTATATTACTGATTTATTGGTTAACCCAGACAATACATATAATGGTTTTGCTTTATTAGAGGGGGTACTGTATTATTAATTAGATGGTTTAATATGGTGTAAAACAGATAACTTTTAGAAAACAGAACAAGACTATAATCAAATAGATAAGATGTGTATTTAGAATATTAGATTTTGCTATGAAAAGGGAAAAAGGAAGAAGTTGAGATAAGGGAAAATGTATTTAAGCCATTACATAGTTTGCAAAGTTCTGGCTTAAGATGGTTAGCGGTTAAGGTATTAGCCTAGAAACCAAGAGACCGTGAGTTTGAATCCTGACTTAGGCATGAAAGCCAGCAGGTGATTTTGGGCCAGTCACTCTCTCAGCCCATTTCACCTCACAGGTTATTGTTGTGGGAAAAATAGGAGTAGTATTATGTATGTTTATTGCCTTAGTTACTTATCAAAGTAATAGAATTAAAAAATCAAAGAACTCAATTATTATACCTCCACCTATTGTGTGTATCTAATTAATCATAACATGTTATACAAACCAAGCCTAAGTAGGATTTATGGATCCAGTTCATAATGCATCAACATTCCTATCATCTGCTCACTTGAAACCAGTAAGAGTTTATCAGATATGCAACATTATATACAAGACTACTCAATCTGTGTTGCTCCCTTGAACACTATTAAATTCAACAGCATAATTAATAATATCCCTGCAGGACACAATCTTGTGAACTTTGATCTTCCACGCAGTATGAACTTTAGATTGTTTCTTCTTTAGAAGATAGCTATTCTAAATACCAGTAAAAATGAAAATCACTGGTCAAAGATTTCAGAAGAAAATGATAAGTATGTGAAAGACTTGCTTCCTCTATAGATTAACCTTTGTGTAATATAAATGTGCATAAATATTAAAATAATCTATGTATTCTTTAAGTTGCAAGTAAATCAGAAGACTCATCCCCTGGCTGAAAACCTAAAATATTTCCCTGCTTGTCAGTAACTTAATCTTGAGTCTAATGTATGAAAACCTTCTGGCAATAAAACAAGACAGACAAGCTTAAAATGAAACCATTGGCTTGGTGATTATGACATAACATTGCTAGCTTTGATAATTCTAAAAGCTATAAAGATCTTAGATTGGAAATCTATTGTACAAGAAGATTAATTACCAGGATAGTTTTTATTATACAAAATACTTTACAATTCATTTTTTTAAAGATTTCAATTAACTAAACTCAATGCTTTTTTTGTAAGAAAAAAGGTGTCGGAACTCACATCTTGTTAATCTTTTATTAAAAAATATATATTCAGTTCTTAACATAAATTTAATTTATTGTATTTAAGGCAAATGTTCATAGTAAATTTTACACTAAAAATTACAAAAAAAATTCAAATCACCAACGATTTTTTAAAATAAAGAAATTATTTATCTTTCACACGTAGTTAATCACTGTCCTCACACCCACACATGTCAGTTGTGTAACGAAACATAACAGTCGCCCCCCGTAGTAAGCACTCAGCGCGCGACCACATGACCAATCACAAGCCGAGCAGTGCCACAAGCCAAGCAGTGCCATCACAATCAACATGGACAAAGTACACATGCATCGAACTCGACACAAAAGCAGCCCGCATGCACTGTTTTAATGATTTTGCCGCCAACCTACTACGCTTGACAGGGCGATTCAAGTCCATGTGGACCAAACATCAAATTTTCAAAAGTTACTTTTAAAACTTGGAAAATCTGTCCAAAAAAGGTGCTAGAACTCTGTTCCGGTACATTCTATGACAAAAAAAGCACTGACTAAACTGTTTGCACGGACTCCAAAATGTATCCCAAAGATGCTTTTTTTACAAGGCAACTGGACTTTGTTTTTCTTTGAAGACGTTTCGCTTCTCATCCAAGAAGCTATACATTGGGGAAACAAAACAACAACTTCACAAATATATGGCATAACATAGGAGAACAAACCCAATCAGGACAAGTCAGCAGTCCATCTGCATTTAAAAGACAAAGGCCACTCTTTCAAAGACAGCAAAGTCTACATTTTGGACAGAGAGATCACTGGTTGAAAGAGGGGTCAAAGAGGCCTATGTCAAAACTGAACAGCCCTCTCTCAACAGAGGGGAAGGGATCTGATATCATCTATCTCCAGTCTACAACACAGTCCTTTCAATAGTTCCAAGAAGGCTCCACATCCATTTGCACTACTCAAGTGACCCTGAAGACACAGATAAGCCTCCAGGTAGCATTAACAACTTGCTAAAAGAATGCAAATGAACAACTGTCTGCAGGAGTATAAATCTTTCCATTCCCCACCATCCAGTCAGAGCTGAAGAAGCTTCTTGGATGAGAAGTGAAACATCTTCAAAGAAAAACAAGGAAGTCCAATTGTCTCATGAAAAAAGCATCTATGACCTGGATGACTGAGAATGTCCTTTTTCTATTTATTCTGTGGATATAGCTTTCTATTTAAATCTGTTCTACTTATCAAGACTGGCCATGAATTTATTAAGGTGCAGCCTGATTGCACCCCCACTTTATCAGTAGGGTTGCCAGGTCTGCTTCCAAAAAATAGCGGACAAGCAGGGGGGCGGTTAAGTAGTAAAAAAAGTAGACTATACAGCTTTAGATTACATACCATTTCATCATAAAGCTTTTGAATTAAAAAAATGTCCACTATTTTGTGAAAAAAAATAGTGAACATAATGTGAAAAAAGTGGACTGTCCATTCAAATAGTGGACACCTGGCAACCCTATTTATCAGGAAAAAATTCTATCAAATCAGCAGAAGGGCAGGTTTGCATGACAACACACTCGTGGACCTCCTGGAGCTCAGTGTAAACTACAATGCTGTGCCTCCTAGAATGCATTGCTGTACGGTACAGCACAGTTTTGCAGGATATTGCAGAAAAAAGCAAGGCAAAAGATATACCATAGCATGCCATTGCTGGCAGAATTTCTGTTATTTTTGAGAAAGGTGTTGAAGGAAAAGTCTTCATCAGGGTCCAGTCCAAGCTGGGAATAAACAACATGACGACTGCTTTAGAAAGAAGCTTGCAGTTTATTGAAGAGGAGAGCTAGACAGAAAGATGGCTCTGGAAGAAAAATAAAGAGCACATGTAGTAGGGAATGGGTTTTATATTCTCTTGGGCTTTTGTTTGGGGTTGTTTCCTGTTTAGGTTTTGTATTTCCTGTGTCATGTACTTTGACCTGAGTCTGAGTGTGCCCCTTTGGCATCTGTGGGTTAGTCCTATTATGTCCTGTCTAAGAATTTCGGTGGTGTATCTAGATTTTAGGTGTCTTTGTCTTCCTAAGCTTCTAGCTGGAGTGCTCCAACCTTCTTGAATGGATTATAACATCTGCATTTCTACAGAGCTGGTTTCTGCTTGGGGAAGGGAGACTTGGGGCTATTAAGAAAAACTGGGCATGCTTTTCTGCCTCATTAAGATCCTTTGAGGAAATATAATATTCTGCTCTTTTAATATTTCCTTCTGGGGGGGCTGACTTCCCACAAAGGCAATGCAAAATGTATTAAGACTGGCATATTAATAAGATGCCATACTCCCTCTTTGAGGAAGCTCGACGGTTCAAAACTGAAAATTAAAATAAATTTTCCTAATGTCCTAGGTAAGAGGGAGAGAAATTCATATTTTAAATTGCATAATTAGTAAGAACCAAAGTGGCTGTGAGAGAAAAATGTCTCCTATACAGAATTGAATGCTTAGGAGCAGGAGGGTGTATTTTTGTTTCAAGTTTCATCGAAAGTCAATGGTTTCATGGCAGAATCTAAAAAGGAACCTTCGACCGAACACGCATTCGCATACCGCTCAAAAACATGGTTTAATGCCGTGTTTCTCAACCTTGACCATTTTAAGGCATGTGGACTTCAACTCCCAGAATTCCACAGCCAGCAATGCTGGCTGTGGAATTCTTGGAGTTGAAGTCCACATGCCTTAAAATGGTCAAGGTTGAGAAACACTGGTTTAATGCAAAGGATAAACGTTGACACTGAACACTGCTCACTGCAAATGTTATCGATTACTTTTTTTTTTTTTTTTTTTAAATGTAAATTTCACAAATTCACAAGAAATTATTTCCGGCAACCTATCTCGTGTCGAAATAACATCTTCCCCAAGTTACGGAGACAAAATGCACAGGATTCCGAATTGCGTATTACGACATCCCCGGCGACTCTCCTTGCGCCTGCGCAGTTCCGTTTTCCTGTGACGAAGCGTTTCAGGGCCAGACACCCGCTGTCGAGCCGTGGGAGCGGTGCGCGTGCGCGGAGGTTTGGGCCGCGGGCGGAGCCGTGACCACCTTGGCCGATTCCCTTTGCCACGTACGGCAGCGGCGGCGGTGAGTAGCGGGGACCTTAGGCCGGGTTTGGCCGCCTGCGTGGCTGAGGGAGACGCTGGTCATGACCTTGTGCTAGAAGAGGCAAAATCGTGGCGGCCGGGGAGCCGTGGCCTTGTTTTGAATGGGCGCGGCTGAGCTGCTCTGTAGGTGTATGGGTGGGGGGCGGCGGGGTTGGGTAACCGGCCGGAGGATCAAGAGGGGGAAGAAGAGGGAGACCCGGTCGAGACTTCGCCCTTCCGTTTTTCTCGTGGGAAGGAAGGAGTTAGCTGAGACCCGGTCAGCTGCTGCCACTTCCTGCGTCCGCTTCCCTTTCCCTTTAGCGCAGGGGTCCTCAACCTTGGCAACTTTAAGACTTGCGGACTTCAACTCCCAGAATTCCTCAGCCAGCTTTGCTGGCTGAGGAATTCTGGGAGTTGAAGTCCGCAAGTCTTAAAGTTGCCAAGGTTGAGGACCCCTGCTTTAGCGTTTGTGGCCCAAAGGCGGGTAGCCTCTTTGCCCTGTTGCAACCAAACAGTGGAAACTTCTGGGGCGCCGTGCATTATTCTGGGGTGTCAGGACAGATCTTTAGGGGGAGGAAGATCTTTGCTTGGAAAGCTGCTTTTTTGGGGGGGGCATCCCGGGGGCAAACTACGACCTTTAATGTTACTCGTCAAACATGGAGACATTTACTTCAAGGGACTCCGACCCGACACTGTTTACACCAAGAGGGTCACTAGGGACTAAATTTTTCGATGTTTCCTAGCAACGAACTTTCTTCCCCTGTCTTACCGGTTCCAGTAAGCTCGATCTAGAGGTGCTATATATATATTTTTTTCTCGTTGAGACTCTAGAATCTAGAGTGCAGAGAAGAGCAACAAAGGTGATTAGGGGACTGAAGGCTAAACACGGATGAAGAACGGTTGCAGAAATTGGGTATGTCCATTGTAATGAAAAGAAGGACTAGGGGGTGTTCCAATATCTCAGGGGCTGCCACAAAGAAGAAGGGGTCAACCTATTCTCCAAAGGCACCTGAAGGCAGAGCAAGAAGCAATGGATGGAAACTATTCAAGGAGAGATTCAACATAGAACTAAGGAGAAATTTCCTGACAATTAATAATAATAATAATAATAATAATAATAATAATAATAATAATAATAATAATAATAATAATAATAATAAAGTTGGAAGGGACCTTGGAGGTCATCGAGTCCAACCCCCTGCCCAGGCAGGAACCCTACACCATTTCAGACAAACGGCTGTCCAGTCTCTTCTTAAAAACTTCCGGTGTTGGAGCATTCACCACTTCTGGAGGCAGATTGTTCCACTGGTTAATTGTTCTAACTGTCAGGAAGTTTCTCCTTAGTTCTAGGTTGCTTCTCTCCTTGATTAGTTTCCATCCGTTGCTTCTCGTCCTGCCTTCAGGCGCTTTGGAAAATAGCTTGACTCCCTCTTCTTTGTGGCAGCCCCTGAGATATTGGAACACTGCTATCATGTCCCCCCTCGTCCTTCTCTTCATTAAACTAGACATACCCAGTTCCAGCAACCGTAGAACAATTAATGGAACGACTTGAGTCCACAAATTGTGGGTGCGCCAGTACTGGAGTTTTTAAAGACAGGATTGGTCTGAAATGGTGTAGGGTTTCCTGCTTGAGCAGAGGGTTGGACTAGAACACCTCCAAGGTCTCTTCCAACTCTGTTATTCTGTTATTGTTAGAGGGAGGGTTTTGCTTTAAAATCTGACTTTTGAAATGAATGGATTTATTCCACATTTATGACTTGGAAACTTGTCTCATTTGAAAATTCTCAAAAATCCAAGCTCTCGTCAATTTCTTTATTGTCAGGACCTCTTTATTTCCTCAACAATATAGGTATTCTGCCTCCTATTTGATTGTAATATTTAATCACTGCTCAAAGTGGAGCATTCTACTGACAAGTGTTCAATTTTTAAATCTTTTTTATTTATTATTATTATTATTAAAAATTAAACATATGGCGGGAAGAGGGTATCCTGAGTCCCGCCAAGTGTCGTATAATTTTTGTTTATTATTTGTGTTTTATGTTTTTTAATGTTTTATGTTTTTATGTCTTTTATTTGGGGCTATTTTCGGCTTAATTTTGGTTTATAATGTTCGACACAAAGGTTAATTTTATGAATTAAAATTATCCCTGCCTAAAAGTTGTTTTAAAGTTGTTATGTGATTATGTTACTTTATTGGAATTGAAGCACTTGATGGTTTCTGGTGTAGGGTTATAAAATGCATTGGAGCTTTTTATATGCTTAAAATAAAACTGTAAATTATGCTAAATATACTCAGATGGAGGACTTTGGGGTGTTTTTCATATGAAAGTATTCTTAAAATATCTTTAGAATCTGCCAGGAATGAGACAGGCTGTGTAAACACTGTGAAATATTAAAATAATATATTTAAATAAGCTCTCCTTCTTAGACCACAACTTAAGGAAGCTTTTATTAAAATAATTGCTTTGTAATGCTTCAAACTGAACCAGAGGTACATAATACAGGTAGTCCTTGACTTAGGACCACAAATTAGTCCAAACTCTCTGTTGCTAAGTGAGTTTTGTCCCATTTTACAACTTTTCTTGCCACAGTTAAGTGAATCACTGCAGTTAAGTTAGTAACATGGCTGTTAAGTGAATCTGGCTTCCCCATTGACTTTGCTGGTCAGAAGGTCACAAAAGTTTATTACATGATCCTGGGACACTACAACTATCATACGTATGAACCAGTTGCCAAGTATTCTGATTTTGATCATGTGACCATGAGGATGCTGCAATGGTCGTAAGTCACTTTTTTCAGTGCTGTTGAAGCTTTGAACAGTCACTGAATGAATGGTTGCAAGTTAAGGCTACCTGTAAAGCATTCCACACTTACGCTATAATTACAGGTAGTCCTTTACTTAGAACCATTCATTTATTTACCATTCATTTACTTACATGAGCAATGAAAAATGTGACTGACAACCAGTCCTCACACTTACAGCTAATATAGCATCCCCACAGTCACATAATCAGAATTCAGGCACTTGGCAACCATCATGTATTTACAAAGGCTGCAGCATCCTGGGGGGTTCACGTGATCGCCTTTTATGACCTTTCCAGCCAGCCCATGGCAAGCAAAATCAGTGGGAAGAGCCAGATTTTCTTAATGACCACATGATTCACTTGACAACTGCAGTGATTTGCTTAACATCTGTGGCAAAAAAGTCGTAAAATCGGGCACAATTCACTTAACCGCCTTGCAACAATGAAAATTCTGGTCTCAGTGGTGGTCGTAAGTCAAGGACTACCTGTAATTCCTTAACATATGCACAGTACAATTCTTATATGTCTCGAAATAGTTGTTGAGTTCAGTGAGACTTCTTCTTAGATAAGTGAATATAGAATTTTAGCCGAGATGTAGTCCCAAATTATCTGCTTTTAATGAAAATTGGACTGAAAACTTCATGTATATCCAAAACAAGTTCACTTGTAAGATTTTGGCTGTCTCTTGATTACAAATTAAACTGAAAAGATGACTTCTAGAGCAGTACAGGTAGTCCTTGACTTACAACAGTTCATTTAGTGACCGTTCGAAGTTACAATAGCGCTGAAAAAAGTGACTTATGACAGTTTTTCACACTTACAACTGTTGATCGTGTAATCAAAATTCAGGTACTTGCAACTGACTCATTTTTATAACGGTTGCCGTGCCCTGGGATCAGGTGATCCACCTTTTGCAACCTTCTGACCAGCAAAGTCAATGGGGAAGCCAGATTCACTTAATAACCGTGTTACTAACTAAACAACTGCAGTGATTCACTTAACAACTGTAGCAAGAAAGATTGTAAAATGAGGCAAAATTCATTTAACAACTTTTCTCAATTAGCAACAGGACTATCTGTAGTATAAAGTTCCAGAGCATTAGTTAATTTGATGCAGCAGAGATGGTAAGCTTTATGGCATCTTAAATATTGGTAGGATTCTTGTGGAATATCTTTTAGTGGTGATTCTGAAATGGATGTTGGTTTTTAAAATTACTGTATGCCACTATAGATTAATTCCTTTATACTTTCCTGTTCTACAATATAATCATTAAATTACAAACAAAAAGCAGAGGAAATGTAAACAAATAATATAGTATTTAAAAAAACACTTTTGGGGGAACTTCATTTCAAAATGTTTTTGTTTGGATCTTGACAATAGTAAGAATAAATTGGTATTTCTATTTCTCTGATATCCAAAGTCAGAGATTGTTCTTAGGGCTGTAACATTGCATCACAGTTCTTGCTGCAACTTAAAATATGTACATTTCATTAAAAATTAAGGCTGAATTCTCAGTTAGATTTAACATTATTCTTCAGTTCATCTAAATAGCAGTAGATGATAGCCTCTTTCCTGTTTGCTTCAAACAATTTTGCTGAATTATGCTTGTCACTGCATGATACAATATTTATTTTGTAATGCATATTGAGCCCATCAAGCAGCTGGTCTGGTTGTTGCCAGAGGAAAGGGGGTTTATTGTTTTGTGTACTGGGTTTTATCTTTGTAAGCCACCTGGAGTCACCGAGAGTGAGTTGGGCAGCCATGTTCTTAATAAATAAATAGTAATTATTGAAACAAATTGTTTATACTTTCTATCTCTCCCCTTCCCTCCCTCTTGGTGTATATAAGACTTTTATTTAATCAAACACTAATTCAAGATAATGTAATACAACATATTCAACAGCACTTGGATTAATTGTTCCTCATAATGTATGTTACCTATTGAATGAGATCTCTCCTTTCTCTTCTCCGACATAGGTGAAATTCATTCAGAATTTTGTTTGGAGTTTTTAGTACTGGAAGGAAAGAAATACTGTACATCTAATAGAGAATTAGGGAAAGTTTTTCTGTATGCTTTGGGCAGGGGGCTGTCAATATGCTGTTATACATGTTATTTGAATTTGGTTTTGATTTGGTAAACTGAAATTTATAAAAAGCATCTCGTGGTTTTTGACACTATTATTAAATATTAAAATATAGGTTTTACATGGGAACAATCTAAAATATAGGGACTATAACTTTTTAGACGTTTGTTTTTGGGTATTCTTTCCAACCTTTGATCGTCCTAGCAAGACTCAGTTTTTTGAATCTAGAATTACAGAAGTGAATGTTTTATAGTTTTGAACTACGTGTAACCTTTTGGCCACAAAGTATCATGATCACTGAGATGTGTTTGAATATTAGTAGCTTGGGTTGGTAGTTGGGCTGTTGGTTTGATCTCCAAGCAACTGAGTTATATGGTTTACAGTCCTAACGTATTCTTAATGGAATACTTAAAAGCAGGATATTTTTACAATAATACAAATCAAGGACTAGTGGAATCAGTGTAGATTCAGGGTTACATCTTGAGAATGTAAACATTTATGTGTAAACTTGTTTATGAATGATATTGGTCTCTTGAAAAATGGAAACTAAATCTAACTTAATGTTCTGTGCAGGTATTGTGCACTACTGCCTATTTTGCTAATTACCACTGTATGGCGGGGCATTTGACATCCAGCTGAAAGTTAAAAGAATTATTCTTTTGGAAACCAGTGCAAAACAGGTAATTTACACATTTGATATTTTTATAGAATTTATCAAAGTATAAAGTGTCATAAAGTTAGAGTGATAACTGTTTTTTTTATTATTTTATGATGATATGTCATTAGTAAATTGGGCTCCAACTGTTTAAAATAGCCAATTTTATCAAAAGTAATTGAAACATTGTTTTCATCAGCTCCACAAAAAAATCACCCAAAATCTCATGATCCTTCATGAGAATCAACATAAAAATTGTGGGATTTCACATGATGACTCCAGAAATCTTGCAAGATTTTGGCAAAAGATTTCTTAATCTTTTTAAATCTATTTTTTTAAAATGGGAACTTTAAATGCTGACAATGAATATCTTGATGCCTGTGTCACTCTTTTAGTCAATAATGTACTGTCCTTATGCTATCTGTGGTTGACAAAGTTGCAATTCTCCTTTATAATTTCTTACTTTTCCCTGTGTCTACATTTTTGGATTTATGTTTTAAAAGATTTGTTTATTTCTTAGCATACAGTGAGGGGAAAAATTATTTGATCCCCTGCTGATTTTGTATGTTTGCCTACTGACAAAGAAATGATCAGTCAATAATTTTAATGGTAGGTTTATTTTAACAGTGAGAGACAGAATAACAACAAAAAAATCCAGAAAAACACATTTCAAAAAAGTTATAAATTGATTTGCATTTTAATGAGTGAAATAAGTATTTGATCCCCTATCAATCAGCAAGATTTCTGGCTCCCAGGTGTTTTTTATACAGGTAATAAACTTGAGATTAGGAGCACTCTCTTAAAGCTTGTTACCTGTATAAAAGACACCTGTCCACAGAAACAATCAGATTCCAAACTTTCCACCATGGCCAAGACCAAAGAGCTGTCCAAGGATGTCAGGGACAAGATTGTAGACCTACATAAGGCTGGAATGGGCTACAAGACTATCGCCAAGCAGCTTGATGAGAAGGTTACAACAATTGGTGCGATTATTTGCAAATGGAAGAAACACAAAATAACTGTCAATCTCCCTTGATCTGGGACTTCATGCAAGATCTCACCTCGTGGAGTTTCAGTGATCATGAGAACAGTGAGGAATCAGTCCAGAACTATATGGGAGGATGTTGTCAATGATCTCAAGGCAGCTGGGATCATAGTCACCAAGAAAACAATTGGTAACACATTACTCCGTGAAGGACTGAAATCCTGCAGTGCCCACAAGGTCCCCCTGCTCAAGAAAGCACATGTACAGGCCCGTCTGAAGTTTGCCAATGAACATCTGAATCATTCAGAGGAGAACTGGGTGAAAGTGTTGTGGTCAGATGAGACCAAATCGAGCTCTTTGGCATCAACTCAATTCGCCGTGTTTGGAGGAGGAGGAGGAATGCTGCCTATGACCCCAAGAATACCATCCCCACTGTCAAACATGGAGGTGGAAACATTATGCTTTGCGGATGTTTTTCTACTAAGGGAACAGGACAACTTCACTGCATCAAAGGGATGATGGATGGGGCCATGTACTATCAAATCTTGGGTGAGAACCTTCTTCCCTCTGTCAGGGCATTGAAAATGGGTCGTGGATGGCTATTCCAGCATGACAATGACCCAAAACACACGGCCAAGGCAACAAAGGAGTGGCTCAAGAAGAAGCACATTAAGGTCCTGGAGTAGCCTAGACGGTCTTCAGACCTTAATCCCATAGGAAATCTGTGGAGGGAGCTGAAGGTTCGAGTTGCAAACGTCAGCCTCAAAACCTCAATGACTTGGAGAGGATCTGCAAAGAGGAATGGGACAAAATCCCTCCTGAGATGTATGCAAACTTGGTGACCAACTACAAGAAACATCTGATCTCTGTGATTACCAACAAGGATTTTGCCACCAAGTACTAAGTCATGTTTTGCGAAGGAGTCAAATACGTATTTCTCTCATTAAAATGCAAATCAATTTATAACTTTTTTGAAATGCGTTTTTCTGGATTTGTTGTTGTTGTTATTCTGTCTCTCACTGTTAAAATAAACCTACCATTAAAATTATAGACTGATCATTTCTTTGTCAGTGGGCAAACATAAAAAATCAGCAGGGGATCACATAATTTTTTTCCTCAATGTACCAAATACATGAATATTTTTTAAGGATGACAGTTCTTCAAAATTAAAATTGCAAATTCAGTTTGGGTCACTTTGAAAGGAATCTAACTTTCCTTCAGAATTTTACAAAGCTACTGAAAATCCAGGGCATGAGATATTCCTATTAATAATGCCCTGCCATTTATTTACGCACATATAAGAATACACACACACCGGGGGGGGGGGGGGGAGAGGAGAATTTTGTTCCTTTTCCCCCACCATGAGCCTACTTTGTCTTTTGATTAAATTGATAGATATTCATGTTACTAATCCATTTTTATATTTCTATAAGAAGACCTGTGGTAACTATGAACGGCCAACTGGATTTGAGTGGAAAGCTTATAATTAAAGCTCAGCTGGGTGATGATATTAGGAGAATTCCAATTCACAATGAGGATATCACCTATGATGAGTTGGTGCTCATGATGCAGAGAGTTTTCAGGGGGAAACTGCTGAGCAACGATGAAGTTACCATAAAATATAAGGATGAAGGTAGGATTTTCTATTTTCTAATGTTATTTAATAATGAAAAATCTTAATGGAAGTCTTCAGCTTTTGCTTTGGGACACGTTTTTTTCTAGCACATTCAAAGCCTATGAAATTACAAAATACAGAATAATACAGTGTAATTAGATCTTTCCGAGTTACATTGAATCTTACATTGTATAGTTACTATATGATTGTATCATTAAATTGCAACAGATTTTCTGTAGGCAGTAACGTTTTGTACAATCACACTTGTACTATATATGTATCTCCTCCTTTGTTTTATCTTCTTCTGTGTTGGGCCATTGGCCACATGTTTGAAATCAATCTAAAATGGCTGTTTGCCTTAAAATGATACAAGTGTGGCATAACTTTTATAGTAAAATATGAAGAGTTGCAGACCTAAGATTTAGGAACCAGTGACATAATATGAAATTTATCCACGGGAGTGGACTTGTATTGGAGAGGCAGGTGGATGAAAGAAACAGCTTGGAAAGATAACCTGTCCTTGATGAATCTGTTGGGCACTGATGAAGACACTTACAGTATTCTCAATGAGAGATTTATATAGTCCTATCTTGCTACAATTAGAGGGCAGACATTTTGTGAATCCCTGGAGAGACAATAGTTAATGCAGTAAATATAAATTCTGACCTATATGTATAAAGTTTACATAATTTTCAATTTGAATGGAAAGCCTCAGATAGTACTTCTCAGGTATATATTATCCAAACTTTGTCTTTTGTTTAGCACTAACCAGAAAAATTTTTTCCCTGGTTTTTGTTGGAACACTAATAGAGCTTACACATTTCATAAATGATTCAGAAGTGCATTACAGCTCTTGTAAATGAAGTATTTTTAGTAATTAAAACAGACAGACATTTGTTTATATGTTTCCATATGAGTATTTGAAAAAAGCAGCTGTTTCCATGGAATAATTAAAGCATTCATTTTTAAAGTGACTAATAGAGTAGCTACATCCTTTTTCAGAATTCGCATAGAATCCTGAAAAATTATATACTTAAATAAATGGCAAAGAGATATTCTGTTTGTACTAGAGCCCAAACATTCTTTCAAAACATTTTCAACCTATTCACAGCTCGATTAAATGGCATAAGCTGAGTGGTTGCATTTTGTAATTGTTGCACCTTGATAAGCTTAGTGGCATTTCTTGTTAATTATTGACTGGCAATAATTGCATCTTGGAGCATTATTATATGAAAAATACTATGAATGGTTATAGCACAGCTTTAAGTATTATATACCCAAGGTACCTATTAGAAAATTTGCTGTGAATATTTTTAATTACCTCCACTTGAAAATTTAGTGCTAATTTTGCACTAAAAATTAATTTCCTTTTAATTATGTTTTTAATGGTAGTATTTTGTACTTTTGTATTTGTTTTTATTAGGCTGTTAGCCGCCCTGAGTCCGTAAGGAGAAAGGCGGGGTAAAAATACAATAAATAATAATAATAAATAATAATAATATATGCTTAATGTCTTGGTAACATCCCTACATAGTCATAAGACATAGTCATTTTATGTTTGGACTACTGCAACAGTTCTACATGGGACTATCCTTGAAGAGTATTCAGAAGCTATAGCTGGTGCAGAGTGCAGTGGTGCTGAAAGTTTTTTGGGCCCCGAGAGTGGACTATGAAACATCACTTCTCCACGAGCTGTACTGGGTGCAATTCAAGGTGTTGGCAATCACCTTTAAAGCCCCTCATGGCATCGGTCCAGGTTACTTGAGGGACCATCTCATCTCAGTGGGATTGGTCCACCTCACCCGTGCTAGCAGAGGAGGCAGGCTGCGGGCCCCATTTTTAATTTATATATCACAAAGAATCTTTATGATATCAAAGCTGCCCTACTATTACTTGCAGATTATGGAGCAAAACCTTGGAACAAGTTTTGACAGCACTTCAACTCTGCCTGTACTGTCAGGTTTTATTTGATTCCTGCCCTCTCCCAACTGCTTGCTATCTTTTGGAAATAGATTTTTAAATGACTCACACTGATATGTGGGAGGTTTTTTTGGAAGTTGTATCTGATTCCTCATTCTCCTTAATTAACAGATGGAGATCTTATAACAATCTTTGATAGTTCAGATCTTTCCTTTGCAATTCAGTGCAGTAGAATCCTGAAACTGACACTATTTGGTAAGTAAAAATATTGTTAAAAATTGTTTGATCCTTTTTTATTTTATTTTACTTGGTAATAATTTTTCCTTAAATTCCCATGAAATCATGTAACATAGATGGTACATATCATTTGTTTCGAAGAAGTTCATACAAGTTATAAGGTCTTAAGACTATTTTGTCTTGTCTTGTGAAAACTTATTAGTGTAATATCTGTTTTATAGTTAATGGGCAGCCAAGACCGCTAGAGTCAAATCAGGTAAAATACCTTCGCCGAGAACTGATAGAGCTTCGCAACAAAGTGAATCGTTTATTGGATTGCTTAGAACCTCCTGCTGAGCCAGGACTTTCTACTAGTCTGGCTGAAAATGGTAAGTTGATAACTGTTACTTAAAAATAGATTGATGTGGATGTCTCTTCTCATAAACCAGTGGTTCTCAACCTGTGGGTCGGGACCCCATTTGGGGTCGATCAACCATTTCATGGGGGTCGCCAAGCAAGGCTGTCCGCCATTTTTTTTGTCCGCCATTTTTTTTGTCTGCCATTTTTCCCCCTTTTCTGGCGGGTGCCTTACCTCCCTTGGGCTGGGCCAGCTGGTGGTCGGCCTGCTCCGTCTCTGCCGCTTGCCAGCTACGCCTCGGCCGGCGCAGGGGGCGGAACCACGCATGCGCGGCACTCCCGGGCAGGGAAGGTCCTCGACTTACGACCGGTTGGGTAGTCCTCGACTCACAACTGGTTTAGTCCTCGACTTACGACCGGTTTAGTCCTCGACTTACGACCGGTTTAGTCCTCGACTTACGACCGGTTGGGGTCGCGGCATTAAAAAGGTTGAGAACCACTGTCATAAACTATGCTTGCCTAAAAATGTGCAAACATTCCAGGGTGGAAATGCTCTGTTCCCTAAACATCCTGTTCCAGCCTCATTTGCCATTTAGTTTATTTAAAATATTTATATGGCTGCCCATTTTAAAATGAGAGCTTTGAGTGCCTCATAATCATAACAAATCAATTTCAAAGTAAAAAGAAAAAAACAGAAAAAGAAAAACACAGCCCCATAAACTCTCCAATGCAGCCTATAATACTCTGCTCGATTTAGTTTTATTTTATGCTGCCTTTATGATTTCTTTTATAAGTAACTCAAGGTGGCAAATATACATGACTCCTCCCATTCTTACAACAGCACTGTGAGGTGGGTTGGGCTGCAGGGTAGTAAATGGCCAAGATCACCTAGGTGGCTTTCGGGCCTGAGGTGGGACTAGAACTCACAGTCTCCTGGTTTTTAGGCCAGCACATTAAGCACTGCATCAAGTGGCCTTTCCTTTCTTAACAGAAATATTCTGACTGCAAAATTGGTTTGAGTGAGGTGTTTTAGGTGAGGACTAAATGTTTTTTCCAATAAGGAATCATTTCTGATAAGGTCCAATTGAAATAGTTTGGGTTTGGAATTTTCACTTTGAAACTTTTTGTGCCTTGCTATAATTGCTTTAAATCTGTAAAGTTTGGGCTTGGTACTTAACAGTGTTAAGTACTGCTATCATTTTCGTAATCTCAGGCCTCTGAAAATTTCCATCTCTGTTTCAGATGTTGCAGAGGGTAGGGAAGACAAGCCTACTACTGCCGATTCAGCTGTCAAGCCGTCTACTCAAGTTATAGCAGCAAGTATGTCTGCTTTTGATCCATTAAAAAATCAAGATGAAATCAACAAAAATGTCTTGTCAGCATTTGGGCTGACAGATGATCAGGTGTCGGGTAAGAATATATATTTTATTGAAACTGTTGCTGAAGTTTGCTGTTTCAGAATTGGCCAGGCATACGGCAATTTTATAGATGGTATAGGTCAGACATGTCAAACAAAGGCCCGGGGGCCGGATGTGGCCCGCGAAGTGGTTTCATGTGGCCCGCGAAGCCATCCTAGAAACAGGGAATGGCCCCCGCTGCCTTGGCCCTGGCCCAGGCCAGCCGGGAGCCAATGTACAATTTTGTGGTGGCCATCTATGTTGAAACGTATTCAGTCTTAGCTCCACAAGGCCATCTGGAAACAGTGAGGAACCAGCCCCTGCTGCGTTGCCCCCGCCCCCTGGGTGCATGCTGGGGAGGTGTCACCCTTTGTGAGGAATGAAGAAATGTACCATTGCCCTGGAAGTGGCCAGCAAATGGCCCTGGCCTACTTCACATATCCGGCTTGATGGACTCTGGGGGAGGGGTTTCGGCAGGCAGTGGGGCGCTCTCCTCTCAGTGCCAAGAGGCTGAGCCCCCACAGGCACCCTTGACGTAAACGATGTAGAGCTAGCCATGCCCACCCTGTAGGCTGCACCCACCCGGCCCCCCGAGGGCAACCGCAATGCTGATGCGGCCCTCAATGAAATTGAGTTTGACACCCCTGGTATAGGTAGCTCTCATTTAAGGGCTAGGTGCTTACCAACCATTCAGTTTAAAGACAGCTCTTGTAAAGTACTTCTGACCATCACAAAACACACTCTCTCTCTCCCTCTCTCTCCCCCCTCCTCTCCTCTCTCTTATACACTCACACACACACACACACACCATGGTCATGTGAGAAGGCATGAAGAGAAACGGAGATAAGGATTTTAGCTCCATGTGTTCGCTTAACAACTGCAACCAGGAGTGCTGGAATTGCGGTTGCTGAGTGCAGCATTCACATGACATCTTGCTTAACAACTGCTTCATTTAATAACCAAGATTCCGTCTCAATTGCGGTTGTTAAGTGACAACTACCTGTACGTGAAGGAACTTCAAATTTGAAAATTTTGCATGAATTATTTTTACCTCCCCCAATGGAGCTGAAACTCCATATTCTCTTTCTCCCCCCCCCCCCTTTGGTGTCTGTTATCTATACTTCTTTCCAACTTGAATTCAGTACAAACCTGTAGCTCTTGAGACCACAAAGTATACATTTGAACCATCACACAGATAGTCCTCGACTTAACCACCATTCATTTAGTGACTGTTCAATGTTGCAATGCCACTAAAAAAGTGACATGACTGTTTTTCACACTTAACAACTCTTGCAGCATCCCTGTGATCACATCATCAAAATTTAGGTGTTTTGCAACTGGCATGTATTTATGACATATGCAGTGTCC